AAACATTGGTCACCTTTATTTATTTCCGTGCTTACTATACTATTAATATTCTTCTATCTTTATTCCTCTCGCCTACCGTATTTCCATAAACCCGCCCACGATAATTTTTTAAACGTCTATATTCAGCTAATCACTATGGCAATTGTCGAAACACGCGAAGATTACGTTTATCTCGCCAAGCTCGCTGAGCAGGCCGAGCGTTATGAAGGTGAGAGTTTGTGAAACCCAGGAACCACATCAGGTTCATCTCAGGCTAGTAATTCTTTTCGAATTATAAGTATACTTTCTGTCAGAAACTTTGGTGAAAAAGTAAAAACTTACCAGTTTAAACTGAGTTAAGTTTACTCTACGAGAGGTCATCTGAGTACTTTTTAGAACCGAGGATTTACAACGGCATTCATAATAGATTTACATTTAATAATATTTAAATTAACCAGAACCAAAATCACTGCTAAAATAATATATAATATGTTGCATCATATAACTTAAAATAAAATAAAAAAAAAAGAAAAAAAAAAAAATAAATATATATAATAGATATATAATATATATATATATATATATATATATATAATAAAATATCATGTTATTCATTTATCAGTTATATTAACCTCAATAACATTTTCAATCTGCCAGAAATGGTGGAGAATATGAAAAATGTCGCTTCTGCTGACCAAGAACTTACTGTTGAAGAACGCAATCTCTTATCTGTTGCATACAAAAACGTGATTGGTGCCCGAAGGGCTTCTTGGCGTATTGTATCCTCGATTGAACAAAAAGAAGAAACGAAAGGAAACGATGTTCAAGTTGGTTACATCAAAGAATATCGTTCAAAGATCGAGGATGAATTAACTAAGATATGTGATGATATTTTGGAAGTATTAGATAATCATTTGATTCCATCTGCTGCAACTGGTGAATCTAAAGTATTTTATCACAAAATGTTTGTAGCCTGATCTTTTTTCTCTTAATTAGTTTATGGTTTATTAGATTAGTTGTAGTTAATATGTAATTAAAAAAAATTTATTAACAAAATTATTATTATTGTTTCTCCTTTCTAGGAAAGGAGATTATCATAGATATCTCGCTGAATTCGCTACAGGAGATAGACGTAATCAATCTGCTGACAAGTCCTTGGATGCGTATAAAGCTGCAAGTGATGTTGCTGTCACTGAGCTTGCACCTACTCATCCAATTCGATTGGGATTAGCTCTTAACTTTTCTGTCTTCTATTATGAAATTTTGAATTCTCCCGACAGAGCCTGCCATTTGGCTAAACAAGCATTCGATGACGCCATTGCTGAATTGGACACCCTTAGTGAAGAAAGTTACAAAGATTCAACGTTAATCATGCAATTATTGAGAGATAATTTGACACTCTGGACATCAGACTTGCCGGACAGCAGTACGTCAACTTTTTTTAAAATATATATATATATTTATTTATTTACTCGTTTATTTATTTATTTATTGATTTGTTCTAAATTAAATGCAAAAAAATATTTTTTCTTAGATGATAAAGCAGAAGCCCCTAAAGAAGATGAGACTACTGAACCAGTCGAATAAATTAATCATATCACATTTATAACATATTTAACATTATTATAAACAGTTCATTCCTTATTTCAACATGATTATGTATTTGGGTATCATAAAATTATAAAGATATTGAGATGCCATTCTAAATATTATACATGTATGGAATGACTTGTTTTAATGATGGAATTCAAGTTTTCCTTTTATTACGTTTATTTCATTTTTTCGTTCTTTCACTCAGATGCGGATTCATATAGAGCATTTGTAGAAATCTGAGTTTTGTTTTGTCTATAAAATTTTTTTATTAGGGTGTTGGAAATATACTGTAGGTGTTAGGGTAAATTATTGATTTACCCTTGTCTTATTCCTTGATGACCCATGATTACTTAATCTTCCATACACTTACCATGTAATAAAAAATTGATTTGGGTCGATATTTATACAAATTTCTAGACTGTCAATAAATTTGTGAATATATATATATTTTTTTATTTCAAATCAATAAATATCTTAAAGCATTAATATTCAAGTTAATCACTGTTACTTTCTCCTTACTTTTAGTTTTTTATTACTAAAATTTTTCCTGTTTTCTAAAATTAGAAAAGATTTTATGTTTAACTTCTCACGTGTTTATACAAATGAAAAAAAAACTTATTGTCACCAGAGTTACACGTACTTCTTTTTGGATAAGAAATTTGCATCACTCCGTGGTCATTCAGCCCATTTCGTCGCTTTGAGTTAAAAAGATATATACTTTTTATTAATTAAAATTAGTCAGCAATTCGTCACGAGAAACAATTTTGATAATCGATAAATTCCCCAATGCATAATATCAATGCATAATAATAAAGGTAATTCTCTTTTTTCTTGCTTCCTTACGAATCGGAATGCGATCCGTAAAAACCGATTAAAAAGTTCAATCCCTAACGCTAATGATTGTTCTTTGACTAAAACTTTTATGCTTTTTTCGGTCCAATATTCATCTGATACGGTGAATTTCATGTATACACTTACGCACGTACGTGCGTAAGTACGTACGTATGTACGTGCGTACGTATATGTTTACTTATCTGTTAATTTCCTTTTGGATGCCCATTTGTCTCTGACGATCTTCTGTATGACAAGAACCCTCTTGGATGTGATGTGATCGGGCATGGATTAACAGTAGGACGGTGCAAGGTTCATCGGTGCAACGCATACAATCTTATATACTATAGAAAACGATAGGATCTTGAATTGAGCCCGGAAGATTTTTCGCATTTAACCTTGGTTATCTAAAATAATTAATGTCAATTGGTATTGGTTGACTAACCATCACATTCATTAAACACTATAATATAAATTAAATATGGTTCACAATATTTCTATTCCCAATTAATTTGTCTGTTCTTCATAATAAAGAAGGACTATTTTTTCACCATACCCTTTTCTATTATAAGGCGGAAGCTGTTGTTGTTGTCGATTAGTTGATATCTATAGTTGTTGACGAAGGGGTAGCAGTCTACAGGAAGAAGTCCATCCCTTTTTTTTGTTTCTCTATTTTTTAAAGTACCCATCAAATCCTTGGTTGAGTAAAAAAAAAAAAAAAAAAAAAAAAAAATGGCTTTCAATAGAAGAGGTTGCTTCAAATGTGGTAACGGTCAGTAGTCGTGTTTTTTAACAATATAAATAGTTCGGGCAGACGATGAAAAGCGCAAAGTCTCAGATGATTGCGATCATCGCTGCGATTCATCATCCTGTACTCTCTATTAAGTATGTTCGCGACATGTTTGTTACTATCCCGTTACCTAGTAATAACTGAAAAAGAAATTTTGTTATTGTTAAATAATAGTTGGTCATTTTGCCGACTCTTGCCCTGAACCTGAAAGGTTATGCTATAACTGCAAGCAACCTGGCCACGAGGCTAACCAATGCCCTCAACCTAGGACTGCCGACGCCAAACAGTGCTATTCTTGCGGTGGCGGTAAGCATTAATTGAATTTTTATTGCTAATTGGTTTATGTATAAATAGTATTTATCTATGTAAAGTGCTGAGTTTAACTCGGACAATACGTTTGATTGGTAGATAATAGACGATCACCAAATACCCTTTTTCGAGTTGTTGCATCAATCTAACAATTATTTGATTTATTTGGTTTTAAACAGTTGGTCACCTTCAAGCTGACTGTCCCTCCGTTCGTGTAAATGGTAGCGGTAGTGCTGGTGGTCGTTGCTACAATTGCGGTCGTTTTGTACGTAATGTCTCAAATTTTAACTTTTTTTTTTTTTTTTTTTTGACTATATTATGAATATATTAACATTATCTATCTATCTATTTATTTATTTAGGGTCATTTGGCTCGTAATTGCTCCACCAATAATTATCATGGAGGAAGCCGGGGTCACCGTGGATATGGTGGTGGCGGTCGTGTTATCTGCTACAAATGTGGTGGATTCAATCATTTCGCAAGAGATTGCCAAGCTAATGGTGTTAAATGTTACAATTGTGGACGCTTTGGTCATATCGTAAGTTATAATCTTTATTCAATTTCTGCATTTAATTTTTTATTGACTTGACTCATTAATCACGTTATTCTTTAGTCTCGTGACTGCCCTACTTCTCAAGGATCAAGCGATAAATCTGTCAAGACATGTTATCGTTGCAGCGAACGCGGTCATATTGTAAGTCTTATATCATATCAGTGGATTTGCACAATCTAATAAATAAAGGAACCCTTCAGTTATAATTCCGGTCAAATTTGTCAAAAATCTGTCAGGTGATCGATAATTTTGACTGGAATTATAGCTAATAGGTTTCTTAATTTATTTAACTGCACAGATTCAACAGATTCGCCGATGTGTTTCTTGAATTCTTTATATTTGTTGTTTCTTGTTATTAACTTATTAATTTATCTGTTTTTTTTTTTTTTAGTCCAAGGACTGCCCCAACAGCATGCAAGCTCACTAGTTATTGACAGAAAAATCCGTTGATAGGTCTGGGCCACAAGGGATTAGCTGGGTCTAATTATCTCATGAAACGAAATTCCCTTATCCCTCCCAATTCCTTTGGAATCTGAACATTATCATAATCATATTTTATCGGTTTCTTTATATAACTACCTATCCTCAATCATCTCTATATTTATTTTTCATCTCCACCAAAACCACGTATTAATGTCGCTTTATTATTTATTTATGGATCCAATGAGGGATGAAATCAATATATTTTGATTCAAATATATATAATATCATATCATTTAATTTAAACCAAGTTTCTAACTTTCTCATCCATTGATAAAATTGATTATGTTACATTAAATAATGTAGGATATTAATGATATTAATTCTTGCTTCGATTGATCCGAATTGAATTAACAGGTTGGCCTAGACAATACACACCCTAATTTGAATTAGTTGGAACCTGACGAAGGCTTTAGCCTGCATTACGATATATTGATATCGTATTACCGCGAAATAATGCCTCAGGGCGTTATTTCGAGGCACAAAATTTATAAAAAGCCAATAATAAAGATTCCTTTAAACTTTGTATTATAACTTTATTTATTATCAATGATAATAAGTAAATTATAATAAACATTAAAATTATTAATCTTTTTCTGTGTCTCGAAATAACGTTCCGGTCATTATTTCGCGACAATATGGTAAAAAGTCAGTAACGAATATCTTTTTAAACTAGGGTCGTAAAATTACCGTAATTTTATGTAATTTTACGTAATTTTACGTAATTTTATGTAATGTTAAAAGCGTTTTATATATCCGGATAATTTCTAGTTTTTAATTTGTGGATTACCGGATAATCTAGCAGATAACCGGATAACCTACAGATTGGTATTAACGTTTGTGACATCGCATTTATTTTGACATAGCTTTTATGGTGTATTAAAACTAGGGCTGCAGATAGGGATGGTAAAAAAACGGTTTAAACAGTTTTTGATACTTTTTTTTTAGTAGTCGTCTTGCCTATCTAAATTAAATACTAAATTGACTGACCCTTAACCCTAAGGTGATGTGCGTCATCAAATTACTATTAATTTAGACAGGATGGTATAGACGAAGGCTTTTCTTATTATTATTATTATTAT